TTTGTCTTTAAAGAAAGTCTGTCTTTGAAAATCAATGTGATTGCGGGCAGACTTTGTGAATGACATTGAAATATAATTAATTATTTACTTAAAAATATAATATACCATAATTAATCTTATTTAAAATATAATATACTGTAATTAACATTTTATAGTTTGACAAAAAGTAAGAATCTACTATCTAAGTATGGACGGTGGGGGCTCCTGGGGATTGGCGCAGGCTTTTCTATAGCAGGTTTCGCGTAAGCACATTCTGCTGTTTTTTTTTTTATGAACAATGAAGACGAAGTAGGCACACGTCAGATTACGCGATTCACACTTTCCTTTGCAGATTTTACATAAAGCCATGGTACAAACGACGGAAGGCAGCGAAAGCTGAGGAATTTGCCAACTTTGTTTACGAACAACGCGAGAAAAGAGCCTTGCAACAGAGTGAAAATTAAACTCAAGCTCATCAATGTTATACATACGCCGTCTCACCAATTGTACATATGTTTCTTTATTAATATCTTATAATTTAAATAAAACAGAACATGTGTAATATAGTAATGGTACAATAGAGTCTCTATCGTTCCAATACGACTGTTACATAATCTTGTCGAGAATGTCGAGGAACTCTGTAGCCTATTCTGCTTCTTCAAACTTGCTGCCGTAGAATGGAATATATCGCACTACTACTTTCCAGTCCGTGAGGTACAATAATCCTAGCCACGCAGTGGCTCCATAGGCCACTGCAGTTGGAGTCCTAAAATGCAAAAGGATCACTCGATACAACTTGGAGATAATATTCATGACAGATTCTATTTGTATTAGGATCAAATAGATGTGTCCTCCAAAATACGTTTTGACAAAAGAGAGAAAATATTATAAAAATTAAAAGATCTTTGCTATTACGCTCACTTAACGTGCTGTTATTTATTATATATAATGCAAATAAAGACAATAATCAAATTACTCGCACCGTTAATTGGGAGGTCTAAATACGCTAAAAGTACCGAAGGACTCACCACTTCGACGCCAACTCGGCGTGTTTTCGGGTTATTCGTAGAGGCATTTTTCTCGATACCGCTCGTATTCGGCAGTAACTGATCTTTTATTTTTATTCCGAGGAAAGTAAAATCGGCGAGGAACAGAGAGACAGAGAGGTCAGACAGATAAATTTAGTTCAGGAACATGCTGCGAGATTCGCTGTCATCGCTAACGTATGTTACGTATGTATGTATGTATACACTCGGTGTCGTTAATACGTTCTACTTCCGGTTTAAGTATTCACCGGTTGGACGTAAGTATCATTTTTAGACTAGGGATCCTCTTTTTAGACCATTCGTGCATCGAGATATCGTGGCCGCAGGGAGAAGTGATCCGCACAGTTCCTAGTTCCTAGGCCCAACGAACCTACGGCTAAACAAACAGCGATCAAAATAGGCCGTATTGTCCTCTGAAAAGAGGCAAGAGCTAAGAAATATAAGAAGTGCATTGAGATAAGCTAAAAAATCCGAGACTACATTTTCGTAAGGACGTATCTGACGTTGTACAATTAATTTTCGATTCTTCATTGGCATTGAAAATTTCTTGAAATCTTTATGATCGTTAGCAATCAATTTTTATTCGTCGTAAGCGTTTACAACGTCGACCGAAAATGGCGCATCGCGGCGGTCTTTCCTTCATAGCGCCTCTAGCATTTCATAACGGCGCATGCGCGTCGCTCGCGATGGCCACCGTGTCGCGGGCACTCGCGGCTAGCGGCTACTCGCAACTCTCGCAAGTCTCGCAACGACGTTTACAGAAGCTTCGGCGTTCGTGTGTGCATCACCGTGCGCTCGCGTTTGCGCGCGTACAATCGCGTTCCCATTCCCAGTAACGTCCTGTGACGTAGCGTGCGCGCGCAAGAGAGAGAGAGAGAGAGAGAGAGCGTATATCGGACGGCCGAACGACTCCGCTGCTCCGCTCCGGAGTCCGGTCCCGTGACCGACAGTCCCGACGGCTCGCCGAGCACGCCCGATGTAAAACGTCACTCCGGTGTCGTGCGCGAGTGCCGCGAGAGCCACGATTTCCCCCCCCCCCTTCAGTGCCGCGAGACAACGCGTGCGGCGAGGACGAGGGCTTGGGCATTCTCTCCAATTCTCTCACGCGCGTTCCTCCACGAGTCCCACGTACCAACGCGTCTGTTTCTGCTCGCGACGCGTACGGACGTCTCTCGGTCGCCTAACCGAGGATCGGATGTGCCCGGATATGCGCGCCGAGCGTACGCTCGGCGCGGCGGATCGGCGTTCAGCTGCACAACGTGCGAACGCAGAAGCGGCGACGGCGGCGGCGGCGGAGCCGCGCGAGGCATTCGGCGCGTATTGCTGAGACGTGGTACGTGGTACCGAGCGGTGCCGGTACAGTGGTGTGCCAGCGGCGGTGCCACTGGTGCCAGTGGTGGAATTTTCAAGGCGGAGAACCTTGGGGAAGTGGCCGCGTCTTCGTCCCGGAGCGGACAGGTAAATACGCTACTACGCGCGTGGCCACACGCTTGGCGAAGCCCCAAGCGAAGCCCCGGCGATCGTCCCGCGTTCTCGCTTTGTGTCACCGTCCCCGTTCCCCCGCGACGCGTCGCGTCGGCGGACCTGTTGATATCGCGCCTCTTATCGGCGATATCGCGCCGACCGCGACCCACCTAGATCTTTCCGCTGGCAGGTGTTTGTTTGACTTTGCGGAAGAACGCGAACTTCGCGGATCGCGCGTGTCGTCGAGATTTTTGGGAAACGGCACCGATCGCGTCATCACCTTGCCGATCAAGGTGACGTGTCGCGACGCTCCGTGCAAAATTCAATCTCGCAGAGGCAACCTGCGAGATTGTTGCTTATTCTCGTATATAAACGTTTATATTTATATGTCGAAGGTAAACGATTTAAATTGCCACGACTCTCGAGAGTGCGCAGCTCGGGAAATTAGGTCTCAATCCGCTTTTACGCAGGCTCGAGGGTGATACAAGTATAAACCGGTGGAGAACAGGAGCGATTGATCAAACACATGGGATACCTATATACGTAACAACGCCGCCGTAAACACAAAGAGCGTCGATGGAATAGAGACGTATGTTGACCTCTCCGTCGCGACTAGTCGCGACCAAGTTTTGTTATATCACGCGAGGAAATGAAATAGCTACGCAGGAGGGAGAGGGCTAATTGCGCACCGCGCTTTTAAACGCTCTCGCTCCCACGCGAGTGTGTGTACGTACGGCGACAGTAGTGCGCGTATACGCCAACTTTTTTTAACGACCCTTGTAAACGCCGCGCCGATTATTAGCGCCTTTCACTCGCGGGGTCCCTTATGGGAGCCTTCGGCGATCAGCATGTGCGTGTGTATATATACGTACGTATAACATATATCGGTGCTGGATTTCCGAACCTCATCGACGGATCTATAACTTGAGCGATCGATACGAAGCGGATATATACTTTCTAACGAGACTCGAAGCGATAGGTACCTACCTGCTCGCGGTTCGCCTTCGTCTCGCACGCGAAGAATGCGTCCTCGCAGATGCTATCTGGGACTTATGTTTGTTTTAGCCTCGAGATAAACGCGAGGACATCTTTCGAGTTTCAAGTGTCAGCGAGAATTCGCGGAAATCAAACGGAATATCGTACGGCTACTTATCGTGTGCGTATTAATTTTCGTTTGTGTTTTACATGAATTTTTTTATCGACGACACTTGCCCGCTAAAATATTACTCAATTCGCGTATTTGTCAATTAATTTTTACCTTTAGTTTTCGAACTTATGGTTTATCTTTGTTTAACAATTTATCCTTGATTTATTAATAAAAAGCAAATCGCGGTAAAACTCAATCATAACGACGTTATCATCAGGTTATAAATCCGAGGTTGTTTTGGATTTAAATCGTCTTAGAAAGGATTTGCCGTAGTAAAGCTTCACATATGCAGATACAGAGCCTTAATCTATCGAGCTGACGTATATGAGAGCCGCTGGCTCTTTTCATGTCACTTTATTTCCAACCCGTTATCAATGGCTTCGTAAAAAAAAAAAAAAACGTTTACGCGGGCATATGAAAAATATCTCTCGGATTCGTTGGTCGCGCAGCGACAGTCGCAGATTTAACGCACTTGGAGGTATTCATTGTAATGACGATGCACCGCGACGCAACGCGACATACCCGCGACCTTCGTGCTCCTGTGGCTTCCTCCGGCAGTGCCGTAGGAAAGATCTGTGAGAACCGGAATCGGCGCGAGAAAAGAGTCCCGGGTACCACACGCGTCGTGGTAAACGTACCGCGTGCGAATCGAAAACAGTAGTACGAACAAGCGGTCAGCCACTTCCACTGGAACGGCGATAATGTTTATAGAAAGTATGAATGGGTAGAAAGTATGTATCCAACGGCGTTAAATCTGACGGCCGCGGAACGCGAAAGCGCGACGGCGAATTAAAATCCCGCCGCTGGTCGCCGCGGCGCTCTCGCCCCGGGAGCGAGCAGCTGATAAAATCTGCCGACCGTGCACGGTGTCCTGCGCTGTGTCATCGACGACACAAGTCTCGACGGAGCCGATCCTTCACTGTCAAAAATTTGAGTCGCAATCTTCTTGACGATCTCGTGGCGATGAGGCCGCGTAATTGCCCATTTTTACCAATGCGGATTAACACTTTAATCACGGCTTAATTTACTTTCTATCCTTTTCTAGTTGTAAGAATTAGAAAAAGATAAAAAATAAGTTAAACCGAGATTAAAGTTAATCCGCGTTGATAGAAATGGACATAAATCTCTGTTAATCTTCCAGTGGGTGCGTGAAAATTTGAAATGTAAAAGGGCGCATGGGGTACAACAAATTACACCCCACCCTATTTATGCTATAGATATTAATATTTTTTCTTCAATATTATTCAATGTTGCACATATCTTAAAGTATATTAAGATTGAAACTTTAATTTTAATGTTTTTTCAATAATAATCGGTTCTACATTGAAATGAGTCCAGGAGACTCATTTTTTACAAACAGTTGTCAACTACACCCTACACCCCACGTGTCCACTGAAGAATAAAAGCAAATTCCACTCGAAAATTCTGCGAAAAGTGCTCACGTTTGTACTTTCAAATTTTAATTTGTCGAAACATTTTATTTAAATTATCAAGTAGATTCGAGGAGGAACAGACAATGGGAAAGTAGGCAGGTAAAGTTCATTTTGCCTACCTACGCGCGGTTGAAAATGCGAAATGTTTACTGTACAGGGCGCGCCAGGTATAACGTTTGTAGGTTTGTACCACAGAGGTTTTTTTTTCAAAGAATCTGTTGGCTGAGAGAAAGCGCGCGGTGAGTGTGGCCACCCTGTATAATTTGCCGTTTTAATTCACAGAACGACGGACGCGTGTTTCGTGATTGGGACACTCGCGAGTTAACGAAGAAGGGGGAGGGGAGGGGCCAGGGGAGCGATGCGTGCCTCTTTTGCCGCAAGAATGAAGAATGTGCATCACGGAATGTGCACGGAGGGGCGATATACCTAGATACACGAGGACGCGGCAGGAAATGGCCGCTTAAGTGCAATAAACAAGCCGTTAGTACATATGTACGCATCGTCTGCGATGTATATTAACGCGATAGCGTAACAGTATGGCACAATTAAACGCGCGATAATCGCTACTCCGCCAGAAGATCCAGCATCGCGCCGAGCGTCGTCGGTCGAGAGATAAAATCAGTCGCGACCTAACGAATACGAGTGGCCCTTGGTGGCCCTTGCGTTAGATTAAGGTAAATATATAGCAATGCGCCGGAACACGTACGTCAAAGATAAAAATATAATACAAGAAAAATATTACTATCTTTGATTCTTTGATTTTAATTTGCGTTATACTTATTTAAAAATTAAAATGATAAAGGTGTCCAGACATGGGTCTTAAGTCTTAAGTGTCTCGGCATTGCTTACGTTTACCTTACGTTATATATCTCGTCGAAGAATATCTCTTTCGGTCTTTCCGAATCTTATTGTTAGCATTTCCGGAAGTCCTGATAAAACTACCTGATAAATGCTAAACGCAGTAGTTCCCGCTTTCTCATCGCCGCTCGATAAAACTATTATCGTAAATAAAATTGTTTGTACTCAGCAAGAATCAGATGCGAAGGCATGAAAACTACGAAGATATGCTAATGAGAGTGAGAGATATTGTTGTTGTGTCGCCCGA